GCGTCATCAGTGAACTTATGGAAAAAGAACTGCAAGCATTGTTTTAGACATAACAGAAGACACCAGAGAAGTCTATAAGTCAAATGATTCAAAAATACTTCATCAGGCGTTTAAGTAAAGCTCGTGTTATGGCATATCGCTTTCACGTTACGAAGACTTGGTTGGACATATGCCCCCTGAGATATTGTTGCAACTTACCGACCAATCATATGGCTACTTCATTTCACCAGTATCTAGCAAGATGGGCTTTGGATGCTGACAATCAACTTGTTTTTTATCTGGAGTTTTAAGAAAGTCGCGCACGAGCCTCCAGAAAAGGTTTCCCTGACATAACATTCCAACAACATTAATCGTACATAGTAGGAAAACATTAGGCCTGGAAAAACTAAAAGCTGCACTTATATTTCATGCATTCTTAGATCACCTTGTCATCTCCCTGCTTAAAATCAAATGCCAGAGGGCCATCAGTTGTTCCTGCTGCAAAAGCAAATCCCATTGCAGCAGGACATGTTTTAACTACCTCGGAACCACCTCCTGCTTTAGGTATTGTAACCTCAAGCTGGGAAAAGTCTAGAAATGTATGGCGATAGTCGACCTTTCCTTTTAATTGCTCAGATGCTTTGTTAAACAGATCCACAGCTTTATTGAATTGTCTCTCTCCAATAATACGAGTACTCTCAAATTCATCAGGATAACTGCCATATAAAACGCAAAATGCAATTTTAGATCTCAGCCACAACATATATGGCATGACATAAGCGAGCATAGCAGGCAGAGGTATAGTACCCCGGTCCTCTGCCATAGCATAGTTCATTCTTTCCACCACAGGTACTATGATTGAAGTCACAAGGAAGACCAGTGTCGGTACAAAATGCTCCAAGTACATTGGGACTAACATCACCACAATTTGTTTGGCAAATGCAGACACAAATCCTGGTTTATCAGCCTGTCTAAGAGCATTCCTGACACGTCTAGCAGTGCTTGATGTCTTGGTTGCAGGCCTACCAGGAGAAGACTGGAAAGACGCAGCAGGCTCCAGCAACTCATGGTCTACATCAGAAAGACATTAAAGAAATATTACACAGACCCAGCCAGCACATCAAGGAGTTCGAGCTACAAGTTATGGATCTGATAAATAATCTTTCAAGTCAATGCAGAGTTATCGAAACTGAAAGCTAAAAACTTACGATTATGATGACTGCTGGAAATGATGTCCGAGACTCTTCGAGGTATTCCATCAGTATTCAGTTCATTCCTTTTACTACTGTACTTCTCAAACCAATCTTCCATAAATCGTGCTGCTGCACCCTTGTTATCCCCACTGATCAATGAGTTTGTGCGGCTCATTGATGTTCCATGAGTCGCAAACCAGTTGAAGCTACCCACTGGTCATCTACAAACTTTAGAAGGGTCATTTCTTTATCATCATTGTATTTATATTTGCTGCGCTCTGATGCAGGGTTAATGAGATAGGCACTCAGACTACGGTTTACTCCAGCATCCAATAGCTCTCCTGTTGACAAGCAATAATTTTTAAGTATAACCGAATGCATACACCTCTAATATACAGAACAGGGTGGAATTCACATGAAGATAAAACCAAACAATTTCAGAAAACTTCAAGCTGAGAACATATGTTGCCAGAATCAATAAACTGCATATTTCATGTTCCTTACCCTTGTTCACAAAAATAGATCCAGGTTGGAGATTTTCGTGAGCTTGTACAATACTTTTCTCGATGCCATCTACGAGGACATCAAATGACCGACAAACAAAGCCAAGGGATGTAACGATGTACACCACATATTGGAGATAACCACCAGGACCCACATGGGTATGAATACCGCTGATAGCAACATTCAGTTCAGTATATAGGTTCCCATATCTGCAGGTATAAGCAGCAGCTAAATTAGGGTAGACAAGACAAGAGTTAAAATATCAACACCAAATACTTATCAAACTAACAAGCGTTTGAACAAGTATCCCATTTCATCTATTTCAAAGGCTTTGACGTCTTTGGTTCAGTGTTACTTAAGTTAATGCAACATTTTTTTCTAAAAATGAAAAAACAAAAGTCAGACAATAATATTATATCTTAATTTCAAAGATCATGATGAATGAGTTTTAAACTCGAATATGTTCCGCTTTCGTGATGCATATGGTACTTGCTTCAAAGAGATAATAGCATAAACTTCAATCAGGATAGCAGTTTTATATGGTTAAATGTAATCTCCCTCTCGTGGACCAAGCTGTCCGGTAGTCTACTTTTAATGGTGTACCCACAAGTTTCCCAATATTAACTAAGATACCCTCATCGGAATATTTGATAGGCAGGCCTGGGATATGTATCCAGACTACGGTGGACGCAATATTTGCCTTCTCTACCGTAAATTTTGGTCTCAACATTTGAACAGTTCGATAATGATCCATAATTTTCTGTTAACACTTTGATCCTATCATTTGAGTTTTGAAATTTAACGGCGTTAAAGCCTTTACCCATGTCGATACAATCGAATGAACTTTTTAGCTTTCACATAGATGTGATTTTTTAAATTCAGATTTTGTAAGCGGTGGTTTTGCCTAGCAGTTTAATGAGTAATGCTCCTCTATGGTTTCCTAATCTTTTCTTTCAATTCTTCATTGATTTTGATTGTAGAGATGCATCATCTTCAATCTTCTCTTCTTTGTCCGATTCAAGATCTTCTTCCTCACATCTTGTCGAGTTGTTAAACATACCTGTTAGGTTCGATCGATAAACAAAAAATCACCAAGAAGGAGTGCATTGACCTTTAAGAATCATTGGTGTGAAAACAATAAAAGATAAGAATTAGACATAAGATTTATAATGGTTCAACTTTCTCTATCAAAGTCTACATCGACTACTTTAGCTCCACATGAAGGATTTCAACAAATTCACTAATTTGTTCTTTCTTTTTCTTGGACAAAGAGTAACCTTTACAACTCTAGTTTTTCTTAGGCTCAACTAAAACCTCTCCCCTTTTAGAAAGAATAATTGCTAAACAAGAATACCTCACAAGGTAGGTGTTTACAAAGATTTAAACTTACCAAAATAATAATAGAAGATACAATTAAGCTCTATACACTTATGTACAAGAGAAAAATGAAGGAAATAAGAATGAAAACCATTTTCTCTTGATCTTTAAGCTTGGATAGGTGCAATAACCTTCTTCAAGTGTCATTGAAGTGTATACACTTATGTACAAGAGAAAAATGAAGGAAATAAGAATGTAAACTCTTTTCTCTTGATCTTTAAGCTTGGATAGGTGCAATAACCTTCTTCAAGTGTCATTGAAGTGTTTTTATTGTGTGGAATGAGTTGCTAACCGTTTATTACCGTTGAGGATGAGTTATAGTTGTTGGAAGCTTTAAAAACATGCAATAAAGGCCACATGCACATGCAATTTTGAAACTTTAAAGAAAATTACAAAACCTTGTGAAAATATTGAAACTTTTAAACACACGACCACGACCCGACCCGATACGAGACGAGACGGACGGCGGCGGCGGCGCGCGAGAGTCTCCCTTGTTCTCTATCACTCAACAAGGAAGTGGGAAAGCCAAGCCTTAAATACCATTCCCAATAGTGTTTCCAATACTATGTGGGATTGAGCATTACCAACACTTGTTTCCAATACAATGTGATTATTCAGGAAACAATTAACAATCATGCACCTTAAAATAACTGAATCAGCAACCAATTGCATTAGTATTATACGATTAAATATGTCATAATTAAAAGTCAATCTACAATCAATCGCGATTATTGCAATTTTAAGCAAAACATTCAAAAATAATATCACTATTTAAGGCTCAATCCCACATAGTATTGGGAACAAGTGTTGGTAATGCTCAATCCCACATAGTATTGGAAACACTATTGGGAATGGTATTTAAGACTTGGCTTTCCCACTTCCTTGTTGAGTGATAGAGAACAAGGGAAACTCTCGCGCGCCGCCGCCGTCCATCTCGTCTCGGGTCGGGTCGGGTCGTGGTCGTGGTCGTTGTCGTTGTCGTGGTAATACGTGTCTTCGACATGTCCGCGTGAATACTATCTTTTTAGAGAAAATTCTTAAGAAACAAATGCAATACCGTCGTTGCGATTTTGGACTATCGCAACGAACTTGGAATAAATCGCAACGCAAACTTGGAATATCGCAACGAATTTGGAATAAATCGCAATGCGAACTTCGACGATCGCAACGAACTTGGAATAAATCGCAATGCGATAGTCGAAGTTCGCGTTGCGAATCTGGAAACTGATTTGCGATACCGGAGATCGCGTTGCGAATTATCGATCGCATTGCGATTTAGTTGGTCATTTTGGCAAATCCAAAAAAAGTTGGTTAAAATCGTATATTATAAGACATTTTTGGTCACTGAGGTTATTTTCTCTATATTATAAGGTGTGCTTAGTTTGAGTAATTTTAAATTATCCTTAGTAATGTAATACTATATAGGCAAAACGTTTTAGTACCTAAAGAACTTTTCGCTAAAATTAAGTGCATAACGTTTATTCGGAGTACTTTTAAGTGCCTAGACTGTAACGGTCGTTAAATTTAACGTTAAGTGACATGCGTTAAGCCTTGGTAATTTAAGAATTTATTTTTAAAAAAATTAAAAATAAAATTAGATTTTATTTATTAAAAACAACCCCGTGAAGCTGCAGACCCCTTCCTTCCCCCTTTCCCCTTCCATGGTCATCGGCCGACTAGTCGTGACCGTCACCGCCACCATCGTTAGCATCAACGTCGACCCCCGATCTGTGACACTATAAATCGGTACGACACACAATCGATCGATTAGAATGCCACACAGAACCACCAGAGTTTAACCCAATTTTTTTTTCTTAATTTCTTAATTAAAAACGACCATTTTAAAATCATTTCAAATAAAAAAATTCATGCATCAAGTATAAATAAAGTTTTACATCAAGGAGCTCTCAAAATAGATATATAAAAAATATACAGACCAACTTTACAAATAAATTTACGACTTGAATATACAAGTAGGGTCTATAAATATACATGCCCTATAAAGAAATAACTCGAGACGTACTCTTCTCTAAACTCGGTCTTGATCTCTTTTGCTTAAATGGCTCCTCAAATGCTCCTCCTACTGATCTGTGTAAGGAAGCAAATTACAAACACTTAGTTCACTTGCCTAGTGTCATACTAACAACTAAATTATACTAAAAGTGTTCATCAAATGCTCAAGTTATCAAGTATAATGCAATAGTGAGTATATTTATATACTCACTCTCTACTCTATGGTAGACATCATTGTGCGGCTGAGGCTTCTACATCTCGAAGCTCACGCACCCCTCTAGTCTATCAAGGATGAGGCCTGTAATCTCTACATCGGACACAACTCCCTCGACTAACCCACCCCTCGAGAGTGTTGGGCCTCGACTTTAGTTAGTTAATTTTAAGTGCCATGTGCACTACCTAAGGATATCCGGATTGATTCTATTTCTCGATACTAGTATCATTTACGAAAGTAACCCGGGTGTCCTGATCGTTTCCCAAGTATTTAGTCAAGGCTAGTTTTATGTCGCCCTACTTTATCTCGTTTCTAATTGTAAGTAATAATTATTCTTGTTCTCACTTGTAGTCTTATTTGAGAGGAATTATAGAGTTATTGGGAAACCTCATTCCTTCTTAAAGTCTCTTAAAATAATAATCCCAAAAATGCTTTATGGTTCGATGCTAACCTTTCAATATCGATATCGCCTCTTTTAGTATTGATACTCCTCTCAAGGTATCGATACTCTACTGGTAATTCTTATTGAAATAAAATAAGAAGTATCAATACTCCTATGGGGAGTATCGATAATCTACCCTTGGTATCGATACTCCCTAGAGTACAGATACCAAAATTGTACACTGGAAAAATAGTTTTGATACCCACATGACAAGTCTTGAAAATGAACCCTTAGTATCAATACTCTCCTAAAATTATCTTATTTTTGCCTTTCATAAGAATAATATCGGTATTATTCTTCCAATATCGATACTCACCCTCGGAAATGCCCTATTTGAGCACGAATTGGACACTTAGACTAACCTAGAATGTTATTTTGAGGTTCATAGTCATTATTAATGTTTTATGTGATAAAAAAGGGTCATAAATAAGACTTGAAAACATGTTAAAACTCTAAAACATAGAATCTACCATGAAAATACTCAACATGCTTCAAACTCAACTCTAAAGCTAGAATGCATTTCTAAGGACCACAAATGGTATGAAGGACTTGTAAATGAGTTACCTTGTTTCTTTTACTGCTAAAATATTTTTCAAATCAACCAAGGTTCATTTTTTCTTTACCTCTAGCCTTGGAGCTCTCGCCCATTTCTTTCACTAATCAAATGCAAGAAAAATGTATTACTAACTTATTTAGGAGTTTGGATTGGTGTTAAGAACACTCTAAATAACTTAAATCCACTAAAAACGAGCTTGGACCACTTGATTCCCTTAAACCTCCCTAAAACCCATTTTATGAAACCAAAACCAAAACGTGAGATATGGGGTTTAAATTAAAGCTTGAAGGGTAGGGATTAATATTCTTACCTTGGTTAAACCAAACTAAACTTAAAATCCTTAAAGCTTCTACCTTTTTGCCTTTAACTTGATAGAAAAAGAAGAGAGAAAAGATAGAGAAAAGATGAAGAAAAAGGAAGAGTGTTTAATAAGTTTAGGGGAGTGGATCATGTGAGAATCATATAAAATAAGATATTTTCATTCTTTGATTCCAGTAATAGGTAAATTGCACTTCTAGTTCCTCTTTTTTCATCTCATATTGCAATCATCACTATTCCCAGACTCTTGGGCTCAACTCAATTTGATCCAATCTATTCTAATAGGTCTTTTAGGCTCGATTTATGAATCTCGGGTTGACTTGAACTACTAACCCAAGATTCGGGCGTTACACGATCAAACCTCCGTTGGCCTTTCATCGTAAGCTGCTACCGTTGGCCATGGAAAAACTTCAAAGGTTCATAGAATTTTAAGCCATTGTCGTTATTATTATAGATTTCAATAGATTTCGACGTTCATAAGCAATTTTGTCACCGCCATTCGAACCACTGTGTAATTCTGCTCAAAACATATCCTCACCGTCGCTCCATCGGTGCTTCTCCGGCGTTCCATCGTGGATATTAAGATTTTAAAGTTTTAAGAATTTGTATGTTAGGGATTTTAGAAATTTTTGGGGGATTTGAGTGACAGTAATGGCAAAGATTGATCGATGGGTGGCCGACAACGGGTGGGTGACCGTTCAATGATGACGATAGTGATCAGAGATGGCGGGTGATAGTTGGTAACGGGGTTGAAATGAGATATTTTAATTTTTTTAGATTTTTTTAGAATTTCATTAAATTTTGGGGTTCTATTGTAAATAAATTAAGTTTTTTTTATTAAAAATAATATTTTTATCATTAAAAAAATAAAAATATCACGGTAGGCACCTAAAAGTGTAACCGAGAAAACGTTAGACATTAATTTTTAACAAAAAATTGTTTAAGCACCAAATTTTTTTTCAAGATAAAATTTGGTCACTTATTTTTATATTGAGCCTACCATAAATGATTTACTTCTATTAAAAAAGATAAATGAGATTACTTCGTTTAGTTTTTCAAAATATATGACTAGAGGGTGATGCTATTACCTATAATTACCAAATAAAATAACCTTATAAAGATAACTACAATTTTCAAACACAATTACAAAATATAAAAGAATAAAAACATTAGATAAATATGTATAAAAATGATTAAAAATTCATTAATTGAAAACTATATGTTTAATAATTGAAGTATTTCGTAATTTTTTATTCCTTGGATGAAATCGGAAAAGAAAATGAGTTTACTAGTTTATCTCCCTCTTCTTACATTACATAAGAGAACAAAGGACATTCATTTTTTTTGTTAGCCTATGATGTCTCCCAATTTTTAAATTTTAAAAAGTCACTTTTTAACTCCGCTTGTAGTCGTTGCTTTTTCCGTCCGTTACCGTCAACAGCCTCGTAGACTGTGAAAATTATCACCATCAACAAAAGAATGAAGGTGCAATTATGGGTTTAGTCCCTATAGTATACTAAGGTTTAAATGTTCTTCCTTTTGTTTTACTTTAATTTAATATAATTCGATTTTATACTAGTTTTTAATATAGGAGAGGCCAATTAAATTCGGTATTAAATATCTTAAGAAGACATGTAAAATTAGTTATTAGCTGAAATTATTTATTTGATTTTCAAGTGTCTTAAACTATTCGATAAAATATTAGTAAAACATCAATGCCATTACTACAATAAAAAATAATTTAACATAAAATAAAAGGATCAAATTATATCAAATCAATATATTAATAGCTAATAAACTTAGAAAAGAAGAAGATAGAAATAGCTAATCAAAAAAGGAAAGAGAACTTTCAAAATAAAATAGAGGGAATAAAGGTGCTATTATATTAAAAATCCTATAAATTATTTTTTTGAACACTAACCCGTAGCAGATTAGTTAAAAAAATCCTCCAAACTGTCGTGTAGGATAACTTCGCGTTATGCAAAAGATGATGTTAGATCACATGTTTTACGAAACACGAGTTTCATATATTTATTATAACATTTATCCAATATTAAATATAAAACGCGAGGTCCATCAAACACGTTTTATAGGACACGATATATTTTTACGTGAGCAGTTTGAGGTTATTTTTTTAACAATTCTACTAAGGCTTACTATTAAAAAAATAATTTATAGGGTTTTTTTATACAATAATGTCGGGACTAAATAGGTAAAAATTTCAGAAGCCATTTGGTACGACAATCTTGAGATTCTGATGGATAAGGCTACTGATTTTTTTGACGATCTCTTTGCTTCGGTTGATTCTCCTACGAGCACCTACCCATTCACGGGTTACTTCCCCCCATCTCCGAAGTTGATTACATTCTCCTAAATTCCAAGATTACAAATGATGAAATCAAGAATGTCGTATTTTACATAGCTCCTTTCAAAGCTCTCGGAATAGATGGTTTACATGCCCATTTTTTTAAAAAAAATTGGGACATCGTTGGATAGTCAATTTGCTCTATGGTTTATTTGGTTTTCAATGGATGTTCTCTTGATCTAAATCTTAACCAAATGATTCTGACTCTGATTCTGAAGAGCCCTAGTCCATCATCTTTTGTCGATTTTCGACCTATAAGCCTATGTTCGGTTCTCTATAAGACCATTACCAAGATAATAGTTAATCGATTGTAGCACGTTCTCCGTTATCTCATTGGTCCGCATCATACGAGCTTTTTCAAATCTCGAAGCATCTCTGAAAAAATTATTATCAACAAGGAAATTATTCACTCTATGCAAGCCAAGAAGGGCAAAACTGGTTGGATAACCACTAAGGTAGACCTGACGAAGGATTTTAATCGTCTCTGGTGGAATTTCTTTGAAGAAACTCTTTATGGTACAAGTATTCCTGGGTCCTTTATTCAGATTATCATGCATTGCCCAACTTCATCCTCCATGCAGGTTTAGTGGAATGGTTCTCTAAGTCGCTCTTTTCGGCCTAAAAATGGATTACGACAAGGAGACCCCTTATTATTGTATCTCTTCATATTAACTATGGAACAACTGAGCCATCACATTAACCGCGTTGTTGCCTCCGAAAATTGGTCGACTTTTCAACTTGTCGTGGAGTTACTCGTGTGTCCCATCTCTTTTTCGTAGATGATTTAATTATCCATGTCAAAGCTAATATCGAACATACAACAACAACAACAACAAAACCCAATTCCCATATGCAATGGGGTAAGGGGGAGGTAGGGTAGTAGGCTGCCCCCAACGCCAGGTTGAGAGTAGCTTCCGTGGAAGACCTCCGGCAGTCAGAAATTAAAATAGATAAAATGCAATGCATGTATAAATAAATACATAAATACATAGTTGAACAGTATTCATATGCAATCATTAATATCATTAATATCATATGCGCGTCTGTACTGG